TTTTTTGATGAAACGTTGGGTATTAAAGGATGGTATTTGATGTCAAGTTTTATTATTTATTACACATTATAATGTGGTCGTATATTGTTGTCGCCTCTTCTGTCGTTGGTCCACAAATGGCTTGTGAACACAATAGAGGCTACAGTTTTTATCTGATTTCAATGAAATTTGGTGTGATCATTTATATTCATGAGATCTTGGTCAAGTTCGAATTTGAAGATTTTTCGATGAATGGTTTTTGAGTTATTGCCCTTGACTTTGGAAAAACGCATCAAAATTTGTTTTTGATTACAATAGAGACAACAGTTTTCATTCGATTTAAATAAAATTTTGACAAGTTGGAACTGGATAATATTTTGCTGAATGGTTTTTGAGGAATTGACTTCGGAAAAATGCGTTGTGATTTGTTTGTGAACACAAGAGACTACAATTTTCATCCGATTTAAATGAATTCGGTGTGATCGTTTATAATGATGTCATCTTGGACAAGTACAAATTTTACAATAAATTTGCTGTGTAGTTCGAAGGTTTTGTTGAAATTTACATTTCAACATTATTTCAACTTTACATGAAAATATAATATTAAATTATGACATGGGCACCTAAAATCACTATCTCAAAGTTTGAGGAGAATGGGTTAAATATCTTTTAAGCTCCTTTCTTTCAAGATGCTGTGAACATAGTACAGGTTTATAGTTTAAATCTATTAGCCTACCATTACTTGTTTTAACTCTTATTTTTCAGCATTTCTGGAAACGACTATTTAACACAACAAGGAATAGAATTTGATTCAACTTGGTTGCTATGGAGATCACAGGTGGCTCTTTTTGCTATTAGTGTCATATTTTTATTCTTAGGGTACCTCAAATTACTGTTTCTTTACAAGTTACGTTAATTGATTCCTCAGTACATCTATCAGGGTTGTTGTATTATAGATTATATAAATCCTAAATAAATGATGTATGTTTATTATTCTAAATCTGCCTCAACAATGTATTTTACTTAATTGATATGATGGTTAATCTCTGGTATCATAAGCTCATTTGCCAAATTATTTGTGCATGATCATGACAAATGTTTTTATTTATCATGATTTGAAAACAAAACCTTGTGAATTATAATTAATCATTATATTTTATTTATTTGTTTTCAACCATTGATAATTGTGTTCATAATCATTCCGTACCAAATTAAAATTTGATACTTATTGGTTTTTTACTTAAAAAAATCCTGTTTTGTTTTTAATTTGTGATATTTTGTTTACCTAATTTTGCATGTTAACCAAAATATCTAAGATATATATCAAATGAAAGATTTAAATATAGTTCCTTTATAGCGTAGAAAAAAATTGTGCCTTATGTAATAAAACTGCTGAACCACATTCAGTACAAAATTCTTTCATGCTATATTACTTCAAATCATAGGAAGGATATGGAAACACAGGAACACTTATTATAGTCTACGTAACACCCAGTAATGTAATCTATCGTAAAATAATTTTAGTCTCCTTATAGATATTTTGGTGATTTCATATACAAAACCATTATCACATTTAAATCAAACCATTTTAACATTTAGAGATTTATTTTGATTGTTTATATTGATGTTCAAGAAATTAAAATTAATACAACCTTTGTTTTATTTGTCTTAATGGTAAAACATAATGTTGCCACCAATGTCCATCAGACTGCTACAAATTTTGATCACACACAATTTAAAATTTCAGGACAGATTTTGATAAACTTGGAAGAAGAAATTTACGCGTGTTCTTTAAAAAATCTGTAATGCGCAATTCTTGCTGTGAAGAAGGAACCCAATTGATAATGAGAAATAATTATTTATTTTGAATTAAAACCCTTCCTAAAATATTGTTAGATTTAGGGATGATGTGTGCCAATTAATAAAGTTGAGCTAGTTTTCGTGTTTGGTTGCCCACTTGCCTTATTAGTCAACATCGTCATAGCATTAAGAAAATTGGTTTAAATGATTTAAACGAAAATTGGTTTTCTTTTTAGTACTGTTGACTTGACAAATATAAGACAAAATTGTTATAGATGACTTCAGCTGCAAAACTTTCTATGTGTCCAAGGGTGTGTTATGCATTGAGGTAAGGTACAGGTTTGATTGAATTTGGCTTGTGAACGCGATAGAGACTACAGTTTTCATCTGATTCGATGAAAATTGGTGTGATCATTTAAATTGATGAGATCTTGGACAAGTTCGATAATTACGATTTTTCGATGAACGGCTTTTAAGTTATTGCCCTCGACTAAGCCAAAACGCATCAAAATTGGCTTGTGAACACAATAGAGACTACAGTTTTCATCCAATTTAAATGAAATTTGGTGTGAATATTTATAGTGATGAGGCCTTGGTCAAGTCTGAAGTTGGCTATATTTCGATGAACAGATTTTAAGTTATTGCCCTTGATATATGAAAAACGCGTCAAAATTTGTTTGTGAACTCAATAGAAAGTACAGTTTTCATCCCATTTCAATGAAATTTGGTATGATCATTTATAATGAGATCTTAGTCAAGATTTAATTCGACAATTTTTCGATCAACAAAATTTGAATTATTGTCCATGACTTAGTAAAAACTCATCAAAATTTGTTGGCGATAGAGGTGACAGTTTATGTCAGAATTTTATTAAATGTGTCTTTGTTTAAATCAATAATATCTTGCACAAATAAGCTTTTTGGTATGATTTGACACAGATAGGTGACTGCCCTTGATATACTGAAAATGTATGAGGAAAATGGGCGTATCTTGCTAGGCAACCACTTGTTTATTAATGCAGAGGAAAGATTTGACTTCATGGATTATAAATTGGTCTATAACAGTTCAAGCAGTTTTGTAGTGGAAAGGATTTTTCTTCATATTCAAAATCAAAAATTGGTTTTGTAATTTATGTACCTAATAGGTCATTAGTTTTCAAGAATTTTCATCATGACAAAGATATACATTTCTGTTATATAATTTGTAGATAAAGTCATTGATGTGTGTGCTTGCAACATTGTCCTCAATCATCAACGTACAACTCAATCACTTGATCAAAATACTACAGGTTTACCCTTGATATCAAGGAAGCAGTATATGTGTGTAGTACTAGTATATGATATTGAAAAAAAAAACGTCTTGTACATATTTATTTTTTTCAAATTTATTTTTTACATTTACTTTTTGCCGGCTTTGTGTGCCTTTAAAACTTTGACAACAATTCTCTGTTCTTCAATGAGGAAAGCTCTGAGAATTCTGAAAAAAATAACCATTTCTTTGATTATTAACACAAAGAATGTCACATTCTCTCCTAAATAAACAAATACCTTACTCTGCAATAAGACAAATCCAAGCTGAGGAAATCAGAGTACAAGAAAATAGTTTAGTTAATAACAACTGATAATAGATAATGAACCTTTGTGACTCCTTGAAGCTGATAATACTTCAAACCATTAATAAGTCTATTTTTCTCAAGAAAATCATCACCAAATTCAATAGTGCACATCTTCATAATGATATTGATACACATACAAAAGATCAAAAGAATCCATGGAGAATTGTAGCCTGTAGAGTGAGCACGAGGTAAATTTTGACGCGTTTTTCGCAAGTCAAGGGAAATGATACCAAGTTTGATCAGAATCAGTTGAAAACTGTAGCTTCTATTGTGCTCACTAACACATTTTGATATAAAAGAGTTAAAAGATTAGTAAAGGAACAATGTCTTCTTTCAACTTCTAATAAAATTGATGGTTAACTCATGGTTGGATCATATCAAATCAGACCCGGGAATCAGACCAGGTTACTCATGAAATTCTACCCAAAATCAGTTACCGGTAACTCAGCTTAATCTTGAATATTTACACACTCTCTGCACCAAGACCCGATGTTAATATCTAAAATCCAGTTATATTTTTTTCCTGTATTATACCTTATCGAAGTTTTTGAACAGGTGATTTTCAAAAATTGTTATTAAGTCATTCATTTCTGTGGGTATCAAAAAGCACCTAAATACTATAACCTTCATTTTTACATATTTGACCACAACATTCAAAATTTAACTACAAAGTTGAGTCAATGCAACAAATATTCACATGAAATACATGCCCTGTATTAAGAATGATAAATGAGACCTTACCTAGATCGGACACATCTATGACATCGAGACCCACCATAAGCTCTGCTGACTGTCTTTCGTTTTTTGGACATCTTAGGCATATCAACAGGTCTGCATGGTTTTAACTAAATATATAGAATTAAAACATTTGTGGTTTTATTTCATGACGATGACCAAAAATTTCATAAGCAATTGTTTGGTACCAATTATACATAATCTTATGAATTAGTGTGCATTTCATGAGTTTGGACTAATGCTCAGAGCCTCACGATCTAGTAAAAAAAACTCTAATATCAAACATAACAGATTAATCTTAGCATTACTGGTATTTAATTTAATGATAAATCTTACCCCTTTTAAAGTCTGTTTGCAGTCACCACATTTAGGAACCTTGCCTCGTTTCTTTGTGTAAATATAAACCTTTTTGCCACCTGGAGTGCGAACACTGAAAGGAAGAAATATAGATTAAAATGTTGAAAACATCATAAGGTTAAAACAGGGTAAAAAATATTACATAAAATCAAGGGCTTAACATTATAGTGCTGGGAATAATTATCGAAAAATCAATTATCGCTCTTATGTCATGTACCGATAACGATAATCGATGGTTCATTTCAAAATCGATTATCGCAAAAAATAACATAACCTGTTAAATTACTCCCGGGGCCAAGGATATTCGACTCCGGCCTGGGACCATAATAAAAACACGCTTTCAGGCAGTCACGTACCGCAAAATAAACTAAGCTAAAGTCTTTATTGTCGTATGTTCTTCCATTTCTTTGATTGTATATGATCATAACAATCATTAATTAGGAAAATTTCATTCACAATAAATTAGTACAAACATTTGTTATTATACGTATATATAATTAACTGAATACAGGTACCGATATTTGGGCATGACTTTCCCTTTATTTTTCACACGATTGTAGTTGTCTCCCTTTTTTTTATCAAGTCTATTTACGTAACGACAAAGCTGATTGGATAATCAGTGCTGTTTATAAATAGAAGGCTAATCACAATTCGTATAACAACGGTGGTTAGTATCTTAGTCTTGGTTATCAAGAACGTGTGATCAAGACAATTATTTTTACCATTCAACGGTACATTTATGCCGATGGCGATATTGACGAAAACTAATCTTCCAAACGTCTTTAAAACAAAAAGATTGGTCACATAGCGAAGAACATGATAATAAACACAATACACATACTAGTATCTAACACTAGCATTACATACAAGTAAGTGGTAGGCAGCCTAATAGGACTTGAAATGAGTCGTCTACTTGACCTAAAATTTGAGTAACATTACGATTTTTATCGATTATCGATCGGAAATGCCTAACGATATATTGCTGATAATCGATGATAATTTTAAACTCGATTCCCAGCACTATAACATTAATGATAATTCTGGTAGGCTCTCTACCTCAAAAGATGGCTTCCCTGGTTTGTCATTGTGTACAGGGACAGATGCACCATTTTGGGGAGGTTGATTTGAATCTTGAATATAAGTAATTGTCCTTTACTTACTAGAAATGTACGAAAATCGTATAAATCCTTCAAAAATATTTAAAAACTAGGAATTTCTTTTCCTGTAGATTCTTTTTTTTTTTATATATATATGACCGAGTGTCTCAAAAAAGACAACTCGTCTTTTTAACTTTCAGACGCATATAATTATGAACACACATAGATTTGAAAGCTCAAATTTCGATGTTGAGCTGTAAACATTATTATTGATTGGGTTAGCTAAAAAAATTCCTGTTTCTGAGACTATGAATGAGTATGAATGGCGCACTTGCCGGTTTACAAGAATCCAAAGATAAAGCAATCAAGCAAACCTCTCAAATGTAAGATGTTTTCTTTGCATCTTAACTATCAATGTACGGGTATATACATATTTATTTTTTCTAGTAAATATAGTGTGGGTATAATGAGGGTCGGTGGTTAAAAAGAAATAACTATACTTACGCAACCCTTTGGTTAGATTTTGTGTTGTAAGACAATCGTCTTCTTAATGTTAATCGTTGCACCATCTATAAGATACATAAAACAATTTGAGCTAAAATTAATTTTATTAATGAAGAGGATAAGCCAAAGGTAACAGCCAAAAATATACAAGACAAGCTTACTAAAATCTGTCATTTATCAATCCAACATTTCTATGTAAAAATACCATCAAAACTCATCAAAATTGTTTGGATCTGTTGTAGTGAGACGGAGAGGAATTTGTTTATGTCTGAAACGGGCAAATATTCTGCAATTTAGATCTGGACCTATTCAAATCATGTGATTTTCAATTTCATTTTATAAGTAGGCCTACTGCGCCAGCGGTGATATCATCAAGTATAGTCGTAACACAGACAAGGGCCACAGTCGTCAACATGTCAAGAACAATATTGAAAACTTAAGCAATTAATTCCTTTGCCAGTCAATAATTTAAAAAAATCCCCCTAGTGTTACAAACCAAATTAAGTAGGGACATACAATGATAGTAAGTATCGTACACTACTGCTAATATGAAGCTGAATGGGTGCCTTCAATTAGTGACTGTTAATAAGATTATATACACCTAACTCGGTCTTGAATTTGGTTAGCTTGAAAGCCGAGAAAATGAGAATTTTAATTATTTCATCTTCAATATTTTCATAAGTCGGATTAACAGGATTATCATGGATTTATTTCCACAAGTATCATCACATTACCTTGTCTGGCTACAACGGAAGTTGAAAAGACCGGAAGTTGATACTGAAGCTGAGAACTTCGGGAAAGGTGAAGGCTATTGAGAAAAGTGAAAATAAACATGGCTAGCTTGATTGAATCATATGAGCAACAATATTCCGCTGTCACTGCCGATATTACTTTCAATATTGGACGAATTTCTTCAACATATGGAGGTCTGGCTTACTTTCTTATTGTCTCTTTGTTATTATAGTTTATAGGCTATATTTGTCTCAAGGCTTAGGAGAAAGTTACTTATTTTCAGATTTTCATCTTCATTTCATTCATCTCATCATGATAAAATCATCATATTAATGTGGTATCATATATAGACACAGCTTTATGGAACAACAATCACTGGTTAAAGTTTTATGCAACGTTTCGACGTGTTTCCCCCGTCGTCCTCAGGCACATAATGAGAAGAAGTGATGGGCAAACTATATATACATTAATGCTTATTATTAAGAACACACAAGAGATAAATGGTTTATTGATACATTACATTAAATTTTAACAGGTACAATAAGATGTCATAATTCTTAAAATAACATACAGGCTGATTAAGTAAAATGATTGAAATAAGGTAAATGAATTTAAAAAGATTAATTGAACTAACAACTATTGCTGGTATTGGAGTCTTTTATTAATAGAAATTACATTGTTCATATAACTAACTATGCTTAAAGTTGGAAATTGTTTTTGAATATGAATAATTACAAGTTGATAAGTTTATCATATGCATGCGATAAACGAACACCTTTATCTCTGTTAAGGTCAGGCTGATATCTTCTGATGTGGATAGCTTCATAAAGTCTCCTGGTTTTATCTATGTGCTTCTTTCTGGATGTGAGAATTAAGCGGTTAGGCGGTCAGTTGAAGACATGCGTGTATAGGAAACCTACACATACAGATCAGTATGTGAACTACCATTCCAACACCCCTCAACATGTCAAAAGGGCAGCTATCACAGCGCTGGTCAGAAGAGCAAAAAGGATTTGTGACCCAGAATACTTTCTATATATCTTATTACTTAATTTCAAACTCGTGTGTCGACAAAGTCTCAAAAAACGGAGTTATTAAGGGACATCACTTCATCTATATACCGGAAAGTGGAATTGAAAGAACGAGCTAGATGTTTATTTCCGTTGTGTTGGAGATCTTGAATAAATTCAGCCTCACAAGAATAGAGAAATAAATCTGCAAGCAAGGGAGCACAATTAGTACCCATAGGAATACCAGTTATTTTCTGAACTATTTTTCCGCCAAATATGTAACTGATCAAAAAATTTAACATTTTTTACAACATCCTCTTCTGTATATTTATTTATAGCTTCAGAGTAATATTTGAGAAAATAAGTTGAGTTATAACTAACAATATATTTGTATCTTCTGTTTCGGTTTTAGACAAAAAGGCCTAGTATAATATATATCCTTTAATCTGTATTATATCATGAAATGCAATTGGTAAAATTTTACGAGCAAGAATATGAAAATTGGTCAAGGTTGGCTAGATTCAAGGTTAGTTGGTTTCTTTGTGAGTGGTGATAATCGATGTTGACGGTTCGAGGTCTTCTGACCAGCGCTGTGATGGCTGCCCTTTTGACATGTTGAGGGGTGTTGGAATGGTAGTTCACATACTGATCTGTATGTGTAGGTTTCCTATACACGCATGTCTTCAACTGACCGCCTAACCGCTTAATTCTTACATCCAGAAATAAGCACATTGATAAAACCAGGAGACTTAATGAAGCTATCCACATCAGAAGATATCAGCCTGACCTTAACAGAGATGAAGGTGTTCGTTTATCGCATGCGTATGATAAACTTATCAACTTGTAATTATTCATATTCAAAAACAATTTCCAACTTTAAGCATAGTTAGTTATATGAACAATGTAATTTCTATTAATAAAAGACTCCAATACCAGCAATAGTTGTTGGTTCAATTAAATTTTTTTAATTCATTTATCTTATTTCAATTATTTTACTTAATCAGCCTGTATGTTATTTTAAGAATTATGTACCTCTTATTATACCTGTTAAAATTTAATGTATCATTAAACTATTTATCTCTTGTGTGTTCTTAATAATAAGCATTAATGTATATATAGTTTGCCCATCACATCTTCTCATTATGTTCCTGAGGACGACGGGGGAAACATGTCGAAACGTTGCATAAAACTTTAACCAGTGATTGTTGTTCCATAAAGCTGTGTCTATATATCGTACTCACAATTGCTAAATGCCATTCAAAGACTTTAATGTGGTATCATATTGCAGAACTAAATAAAAAGACTGGAATCAATTTGCAGTTTGACACATTTTTTGGCAAACATTTAAATCAAATGACATATAATTTAGCTCTTTTAGTAATGTAGAGCGTTTACATTTAGCCATCATCTCTGAAGACACCACTGTTTATTGCATTGTGTTTTGGCAATCGTTTAAAGTCAATTACAAAATACTACCAAGAGTCTTGGACTACCTCTTTGTTGATGAAAATGTTGACCATTGGAAAAATTGGTATTTGTAAACTAGTGGGAATTTTCAGTCCAATAAGAAATGTCATACAGTTGAAAATTTTATTTTGAAAATTTGAAATGAGATAAAAAATTCAATTCATCAAATCTTAATGAAGTCAAAGAATGGAACTTACTTTGGATGATTTATCAGCCTCTAAAAATAAGAATCCGCTGGTAGAATACAATCTAGTTCTAAGTAGATATTAAAATTTTTACTATTGAATAATCTTAAATATTTTTTTTATGACAGGGGAAAAGCAAAATTTTATTCGTCAGGCTGATAAACTCTTTGATGAAGCCAATGAACTGGTAGGTAGATCTAGTTATGAACAGCATTATTTGATTTGGAGGAAATAAAGGTTAACAATTTTTTGTAGTTATCTGATTTGACAGATTATCATTATAAAGTTAATTGAGATGAACTATTATTTGTAGTGGGTCAATGAAAATTTGTTTATTTTTAGAATGTTGGTTACAAAATATGTCAAATTGCTTAAAGATGCTGCATTTCGTTAACACTGAAACTTCCTTGTTATTTGATAATTCATTTTTCTAGCTGGAACAAATGGAGTTAGAAGTTAATGACCATGATCCACAAACACGTAAAAAATATCAAACTCGGATAAAAAGTTATAAAACAGAAATGGGTAAACTACAGAAAGATCTGGTGAGAAAACTGATAATTGTTATATAAGATTAATGTTACATAATACTTATGAAATAGCTGCCAGGTTTTAAGTTGATATTCGTATGTCCTTTGAACCTTGATGTTTTGTCAATCTTTATTAAAGATATAGACAGACATAGATATTATGTTCGTTTTGGGATGTTTTTAAAAAGTTAAAGCAACAAAAAATTCATAATAGAAGTACAAATCTTTTTAATTGTCCTGTCATGTATAAATATCTAACTATGTCTAACTATACCTGTTCACTTGAGTTCAGTCTTCAGCAAGGAGAGAGTTGTGTTGATTGCTTATCTCATTGTTGTGGAGAGTGATCAAAAATTTCAATTTGTTCCATAGAAAAGAGCTAAATTAGGAGTAGATGCAGCTAGAGATGAGTTATTAGGTGAAGATACACATGATTCTGAAGATCAGGTACGCAAAACCCAAATTTTTATTTCAATACTAGTGATTAGATCCTTAATAGTACAAGTGAAATGGGTCTGTGAATAGAAAGACATTGGGAGTATATCTCTTGTAGATTGTAGATATTAAATTATATTTGTATGATTTAGAACTTTGACTATATGTTTATATTATATTTGACATATCTTTTATTTTCAATTGCAAGAAAGTCCCCCCAGCAAAATACATAACCATTTTTGTGTTTTGATCGCTTTAATGTCTAATATTACATTTGCAAGAGTTATCCTTAATGTTAAATGTGTTAAATATTGTATATATAGAGAGCAAGGTTATTAGATAATTCGGAAAAACTAGACAGAACAACAAGAAGATTAGATCATGGTTATAAAGTTATATTAGAAACAGGTTAGTATGGTAATTGTTTATAATTAGATGTACTTTGGAAAGTAAAGCAAAATCCATCACAGCACATATGCACACTGCACACATATCAGATCATATAATATAAACATTGAGGTATCTCGAGTTGACATTGTGTATTGCAAACTGATATCAGATTATCCATATAATGAAAATCACAGTGTTCTGTATTTCTTCTTTTATCTGAATTGTTAAGAGCTTTTCTAAAAGTTTTATGTGTATTGGGATGCTGATAGCATCGGTTTGAACCTTTCCAATATTCGCACAGAAGTCTTTGGTTCCTGTGATTCCACTTCAACTGTGCATTTGACAACATCACTATTGCAAAAGTCCTTATATATCAATAGCAGCTTTGTTAATGTGCCATCATTAAATATAACAAAACACAAGACAATATTATGGAATATAACACACTTCTTTAATAAAGTTGGGCACATAACGTTTCAACACAATATACATGTGTCGTCATCAGATGTAATGGCAAGAGAATAAAACATAACAAAATATATACCAACAAGAAACAATATTGAATGGCTGAAAATATACTGACGGGTTGGGAACAGCGAACAAGTCGTTCTTCTGGTAAAGATTATTATTTAAATATTTACACTAAAGAAAGTCAGTGGGAAATACCTACAAGACCAGCTCAAGACAAGATGAGTCAAGTTAAATGTTCCTTAGTTAAACACAATAAATCACGAAGATCAGCCAATTTTAAAGGAGAAACAATAACCCGTAGTAAAGAAGAAGCTCTTGATCTCTTAAGAGGTTATACGCAACGAATTAAAGATAAAGCCAATTTTAGTGAACTAGCAGAAGCCCACAGTGACTGTTCTTCTGCCAAGAAGGGAGGAGACCTGGGATTTTTGGGTCGTAATCAAATGCAGAAACCATTTGAAGAAGCATCATTTGCTTTAAAGTTGGTGAACTCAGTGACATTGTAGATACTGATTCAGGTGTTCATGTTATATTAAGAACAGCCTGAAAAACTCTAGTTTTTTGTCATCTTTCATCAATTTTATGTTCAAGCTCCTGGAAATATCATTGGCTGATATCATTTCATATAATCACAAGGACTTGTTGCTTTTGCAACATTATCACTGTTTGTGTTACATATGGTCAAAAACAAAATCTATTTGATAGCGTTACAGTGTGACCAAATCATTCACTTAACCAATTATAAAGGTTATATTTTTTTTTTTGGTCTTCTCATTTAATTGCAGGCGATGTCTTTCTGGAGAGTGAGAAAAAAGAGCCAAATTATAAGGCACCTTTTTTGTTTTGTTTTGGGGCATAATCACTTTTTATCATTATGTTTTGTTATGCTTGTCAGATATTGAGAATATTTGTCACAATCATTGATTTTCTTATCAGTGCTAAATTTATCACCTCATCTAGAGTTATGTACTGTACTATTATAGGTAATCATGTGTTTTCATAAGTATATTGTGTTGAAACGTTATGTGCCCAATCTTATTAAAGAAGTGTGTTATATTCCATAATATTGTCTTGTGTTTTGTTATATGTGCTCCTTGCTTCTATATGTCGTTCAAATCGTATGCCATCATAAAATGCTTAGTTTTATTGGAATTCAAGATGTCTGAATGAGAATTGGAATGGTGCGAATCAATATGTGTTTCCCCGATACACATACTAAATAAGAAAACATCCCTCAAATCAAAGTTAGCTTTTACTGTTAAAATGAAATTTTATGTTTTAATGCTTGCATTAAATTAATATAATATGATGTTGTGATAACCAATTTCTAGAGTTAGGAAATAATAAATATTTTAGAGGTAGGAAAATATAAATATTCTAGAGGTAGGAAATTGTAATTTATTTTAGAGTTAGGAAGTTATAAATATTTTTGAGGTAGGAAATTACAAATATTTTTGAGGTAGGAAGTAATAATTGCAGTGCGGTTTTTTTTTTTTTTTTTTTTTTTTTTCGAATTTTACCTTCGCTTGTTTTCTAAGAAGGCAACATGCCACAGACTGTCTGTTGTTGTTTTCTGGTCAAAATAGTGGACAATTATTTGTTAAATGTAAATTGGCACCATTTTGACCAACAGGAAATGAGCCGTGGACAATGGCTCTTTTTCAATTTTTTCCATTAATCAGCTTTAATACTGATCTGATATTGCTCAAACTTTACTGTTTATTACTTCGCGCTAATGACTACAAGATAGCAATTGAAAAAATCGACAATTTTGACTTTTGTCGCTGACTTTTTTAGCTCCAATTTTTGAGTTTTTTAACCTTTTTTCTAACTTCTACAATTCTATTTTGATCAATTTGAAAACTTACAGAGGCATAGATACTTTTAGTGAACAAAAATTAATTTTCGAAATTTCGATATCACTTCCGGTTTTGACGCTATTCGCTTCTAAAATATAAAATTCAACTTCCGGAATTTTGAAGATATTTCAAAAATTCTTTTTGCAATATGTTACAAATGGCCATACAAAAAACTTCAAATCATAAAATCCGACCCGGATGTAACAGAGTAGCTGGTAACAGCTGCCATATTGATATGTTAAACTTTTGTAAAATTCAAAATGGGGCCTCAGGGTATAAAGCGCTTTCCATAATTTTGGTATATCTGGATATCACATTAGATTGCGAAAAGAAATTTGGAAGCCGAATTTTGAATTTCGATTTTGCTTTTCTTTTATTTCCGGTTAAAGTTTTTCGGTAATGTCCAAAATTTCAAAGGGTCCTATTTCGTGACCTTGACCTTTGGTGACCTTGTGGCTTGAACAATATTTGTTGCCATGGATAATATCTATCCGGTGATATACTCATTTGTGATTTGCAATGTTTACTTCCGGTTTTATAGCTGATTGAAATTTATGATTTTTATCTTCAAAGAGCTCTGACACATTACCTAATTTACATACACCAAAAATTCTTATTGAATCTTACTAGTGTTCATCTGCCCTTTGTAATGATATATAACACTAGATATTTCAATCAAAATTGCGCATTTTAATATTTGAAAATGTTGTACTTTCTTCTATAGTAACTGTGCGTAATTTTCTTTATATCGAAATGGGGCCTCAGGGTGTAATCCAATTTGTGTAAATTTGATATCTATGGTATCTGCTATCGATTGCTAAATTATATTTTAGAACCGATTTTTTAATTTTGATTTTGCTCTTTATTTATTTCCGGTTGAAAAATATGAATACTTTGAAGGGTCGTATATGGTGACCTTGACCTTTGGTGATCATGTGACCAGAACAATTTTGATAGTTCTCGATGAGATCTTTCCAATGGTATATTAACGTTTATTGTACGGTGTTTACTTCCGATTTTATCGCCATTAAAAATTGATAAATTTTTCCTTGAAAAAGTCGGTTTTCCTGTTTTATGTTTTTTAGTGGTCTAAACGATAAAGGTAGTTTGCTCCCTTCAACTGTTGTTGAATGCAATGTGAGTTGAAGGGATCTGTCGAATATGCTTTGCGTTTGGGCGATCTATATCCAGTTAATTATGATAGGAAATTATGTTACTGTTACGATACTTTGCGGCACAGTTTTAAGCGTAAAATCGAAACTGTTACGCACTGCTTCAGAACCACGCGAAGTCTGTGGATCTAGTTTATTTTTGAGGTAGGAAATAATAATTTATTTTAGAGGCAGGCTATTTCACAATTTATTTCTATCTTGTGATTCTAATATACCATTGAAAGATTAATTACTTGTAATATTATATTGTAGAACAAATGGGTGGAGATATTTTAGAAAATTTAAACAGCCAAAGACAAACAATCACAAGATCAAGGCAAAGGGTAAAATATGCTTGTTGTACTACAACTTCAGCTGGAAATAATCTTGGAACACAGAATCAAAATATCAAACAATGGAAACTTGAATTTTAAGACACTATTGACGTATATTGTAGACATCCATGTCTTTTGGTTGGTCAATTTCTACTCCCTTGTAAATGCTGTAAATATTGTTTTCATCTGATTTTGAATAAAATTTGTAATAGGAAATGATAATCAAGTTTGAATTAATCCCTTGAAATCAAGTTTATTGTTTCACCAACAAGTACATGCCCACACCTTAAGAAACTCTTATTTCATATCATTTACAGTTAGAAGACATGAATGCTAATTTGGGAAAAAGTTCCAGGGTATTATCAGGAATGATGAAAAGGTATTTAATTTTTTTTTGTATTCCACATTTCTTGAAATTTCATGTTGAACAAATGGAGTGTTTTTTGAAAGTTGAGTGTTTGAAAAAGGTGTACCTCTTACATCCTGTATTCTTAAAAGGGTGTATTTGGATGTAACAACAATTATTTTTTTTGTGTATTTCAGAATTATCCAGAATAGGGTGTTATTATTAGGAATATTTTTATTTATCATTATAATAATAATAGTAGCTATATACTTTACTGTAAAACGACATACCTGATTTGAGAAACAGTGTTATATACAGGTATTATTTATTGACAAGATTGGGGAAGTGAATGGAATAATTTGAATGTTGGAATAGTTTTAAGTATCACCCGATTCCAGAACACAAGAAAAACATTGATAGAAGGTTAATTTTAGAATCTTTATATAATGTTAGAATCTTTCAACAGTTCTGATACCAGGATGTATTTATTATTGTTATGTTTCTAAAAAAATTTCAATTATAATTGGACTACTTATCCGAAAATATAATTTATAACATTTTTGCTCTAATTTCATATATTGGGTCGATATTAACTTATCAAATCATGGTTTTAAATGCTCGGGATCATTGATATTTAGAAGAGTGCAATATGTGTAAATATGTTATACAGTATGTGTAGAGTAATGGTCATATTGGGGAGAAAAATGTTTAATTTGGGAATTGAAAGTCTAGGGTCAGATCAGAAGTCATTGTACATTGTAATGAAAGTAAAATGATATGTGTTTCAATATTAATGTTATATTTATTGTAATATGTAATAAATTGTACTGTGATATTTTAAACACTTGCATAATTCTTTCAAAAACAATGGTCAAATAGTTTTTAAATTATCTGGATAAAAGATAAAATCTTTGTGACACTACAGGGCAACATTGGTGTCCTAGATCTGTTGTGGAACAGTTCAAGTTTCCATAATAATTTAGATGTGTATAAAAAACAAACAAGAAGACATTTAAGTCCAAATTTTTACTATAAATATGAATTCTTTGTACAATAAAATATGATCTTTATACAGTTAAAATTGAAAGTCAATTCGAATTTAATTTGGTTCCTGGACAACCTGATTTATAACTCTGGGTTTATTTGGGTTGTTTTCTATTAACCAATCTGCTAACCAAACCTGAAAAATTTCATCAGTATTAATGATATTTTTCTCAAATCATAAACCATTGATGTTCTTGAAATGATAAAATATTTAATGTGTAATCTGAGGTAATCTCTATCTCAATTATCGAGAAGACGCTAGTAAATTAAAAAAAAAAAACTTTCTCACTATGATCTTGATACAGTAATTCTGAATTTGGGTTAATAAATCAATATTACTTTAGCCACAAACCTTGTGAAAATTTGTGTAAGCTAAAATGTCACTACAACTTTATGAGTTATATTAGGGGATAGATCATTTAACCAAAGGTTGAAATAACTTTAGTACATTCCAGACCATCATATTACATCTTTATGTAGACACTATATATGACAGTGAAGCTGATTGATTTGGATAGTCATTGAAGGTGGGACAGTTAGCTATGCTTTAAATCTTTGATGATCTAGTGTATTGGGTTAACACGAAAAAAAAAAAACTTACAAGTGGATCTTGTGGTTTTTGTTTACATAGTGATGTTAATCCTTTTAGTAATGTGGGATTAACCACTTTAGAGAGATAATCTTTAGCTGCTTGTCCTACTGCTACAGGTTCAACAATACCTGGAATATAATCATCAGTCATTAAAGACATACAATAATGAAGTGAATGAACTAAAACAATAAATTATTTTAGACATTCTCTACCGAGGCAATTAGTTTCCCTTGATCCAAGAAAATATTCTAGTTAATAAAGAACAATTAAACCCATTCCCCCTGTCCGAAGTAGTTCAATAATTGGCACTCATACCTGGAGGATAAAATTTTTTGTTTTTCTAAAGAATATATTTTTGGCTTGTAGATAAAAGTAGGCTCATATAGTCAGAAATTTTTTCAGCTGGTTCACTTGCGTTAATAGAGAAAGTTTCAATGGATTACCGGCTAAATTTTAGATGCTTTAGACTTATAATTACTCTTGATAATGCAATATAGGTGGATTAAGCTCTTGATAATACATACTAATTCCTCTTGATTTCTTTTTTAATTGGTATAAATTGCATTATACTGCACTTGACATCTACACAAGTCTAATGTTATAATAACTCATGACTTACTGTCTGGGAAGAAGAATCTTATTTCACGTTGGGAACTAGAGAAACTATCTGAACCATGTAAGGCATTTCTCTGGTCATCTGTACCATATATTGCTCGTAAACTTGAAAAATAAATAACAATAAACATCATTCATTGACCTTATAATTAGCTTGAACAGCCCCATGCAGTGTTTGGTATAGGTTGGATTATCGATACAGTAGAAACTTTAAGCCAATAAAGAAAATACAGTTCTGGACACAATTCACTTCTCTTCTGTTCTAATTTCTACTGCATCACAAAACCCTCACCTAGTCTTTTCACAACTTAAAAGATGGTTTTCCTTATTTTTCAGTGTCAAATAAAGCAAACTATTTGATTAATTGGTGTTTCTAATGAATTATTATGTATTCTTAAGCATATCATTATGTTCTAATTGCATATAATTAAGAGTTTCAACCAATCATAAATGTCCATGTATGTACAGTCTGGATGAACAAAAAAAAAGACTTTTTGACCTTTCTTGGTAATTCTCTTCTAATTTAACTACTTATGAATTTATTATGGAATTGTGAGACAAACTGGTATTTTTTCAAGTCATTAGAACACCTTTACTTTCTCTATATGTGGAAATAAAATATTACGAAAATTACTCACCTATCAGGATGTGTATTTCTAGCTTTATATGTATTTGTTGGCCCAATAAGCTCCCGCCAATATGATATAGCTCTATCTCGACTTAATGCCATAGCAATAATTGGTCCAGAACTCATGTATGCAACTAGACTTGGGAAGAATAATTTTCCATAATGTTCTGCATAAAAATCACTAGCTTGTTCTGGTGTTAAATGAACTCTTCGTTTCTGTAAATAAAACTAATCCTATTCAAATATATTCGGCAACAATAGACATTCATCTATTAAAATAAACAGGTGGAAAGATTCTAGATGAATTAAGCAAAGTTTCATAAAAGATATTAGTCTATAAATAGATAGGCCTATTATCACCACTCATATGGGCTTATAATTTATATTTGCTCTGTTAAGAGAGGTTACAAATTCCATTTTATTGGAAGGAATATGCTTATTGATCTTGGAAAGACATACATGATCAGCGCAACTATGCCCATCATATGCAATACTGCCAGGCCTATTATACAGGCCTATTAGTTATAGGCCGGCACTGTTGCTGTTTCACTCCCTTTCCAATAGAGACTAATTAACAATTTATAATTTTATCAATAATTCTTGGTTTGGTTCTCAATCCACAAACCACTGAGTTAGTTATTAATAGAGATCTTTATCTTAAATAGAGTTATCATACAGATAAATATTGTGTAATTACACTTGATACAATATAGCAGTCTGTCTGTGTCAGGCCATATCAAGCCAGGGACTTAATTAAAAAATATCAATTTATAGCTTAAATTTTAAATGAAATATATTTTTTCCTACCTTGATAATAGCGAATCCTGATCTCAAAATTATATCTTCGATTTCTTCTGAGTTGTGGATACAATCTGGCTTAATTAACGCAAGCGTCTGTTCAACATAAATGTGTGGAACTTCCATGGTTATTGTTTCATCACTTGTCGTTGACATTTTAACAGAAATAAAAGAAAATGCACAGCAAATTATAGAAACACGACCGACGTATGTGACAATCTGTAACCTGGCAACAATGTTTACATCTCGTCATTTCTCGCACACCGTTACGAGAATCTCTAAAAGTTTGAAAATGGCGGCGTCCATACGAAAATAATTTTAGTCTATTTCTTTGGAAAAAGAACGAATCAACACATATTTTAAGCATACTTTGTATTCAACTAAAACAGGATGGATGGGGTATTATGACTTTTCAAGTTTTTGTCATTTTCAACATTTATATCATTTGCAAATCAATTTAATTACATTTACAAATATTTTCTGGATCTCAACCTCAACAGCAGTCGTCATCAACAGGTTGATTCTTGTTTGTGATCATGTTCACTCAAGCATGATTAGACTTATTTATAGATCAAACATTGTACAGGAAAATAGGTGACGCATTCTGCCGCCGTTGCAGAGTTGGTTGCTCATGAAATATGGGTTAAAGTGAAGGATTCATAAAGAAAATCGAAACAAACCAATTTTAATTATTTTGTAGAATATCTGAGGAAACATCTAAGACATAAAAAAAAAATTCATTTTTTTAACTTTGATGAAATTCGGTGTTGAATCTTTATATCCACGAAAATAGGTTACACCACTGTATACTAGGGAATGCTTACTACATTACAGTTATGTAACCCATATTTGTGGATATAAGGATTCAACACTGAATTTTGTCAAAAATTAAGAACGGAAATATATTTCCTCAGATATTCTTATTCTATAAAAAAATTAAAATTTGATTGTTTTGATTTTCTTTGTGAATCCCCCACTTTGACCCATGTGTCATGAGTAACAAACTCAAAAATGGCTCCAAAATGCTTCACCTATTTTTGTGTCAAATGTTTCCATCTGGAGAAACACACGTTGATGGATACCCAGTGGTATAATAATAATTTTTAGTATTTATCTTTAAAATCTATTCTTTAAAAAAAATAATGACAATTCCTTCAAAGAACAATAATTTGAAAAAAAATAGTGACAGTCAAAATAAAGTAAAATGTAAAAGTAATTTATTGTTAAAATTCATTGAAACAACATAAGAATATGGCCTACATTGCTTTTCTGCTGATATGGAATCTGCCAGTTTGTCACATCACTTTGTTCAATGGAATATATTCTAGCAGACGACACTTGGAATTCTGAGTACAGCTAGGCATTATAAGGAAATTTGGCTGATAAAAAATTGTGACCTTTGGTAATAAATGAAATTCGCCATTTTGTATGTTAGAAATGAATAATAAATTTGACATTGCCTTGAACTGATAGTAAAAATTCTGCAGGTTGACATTGTAGAGGTAACCCATGCTTATCATAACATGCAAATGTGGAGGTCACGCAAGGTCTCACATTAAATTATTTATCATTTCCGGAGATGCACGAAAATAGGTTCGTGCGAAATTAGGTTACAAGACTGTAAATTACAACTACTTGTACTGCAATCATATTGAAATTTTTCGGTCTAATTTGTGTTTACTAACAGGAAAAGGGTCCAGGGCATCAAGAAACCTTCACAGAACAAGAGATGGCAAATACTTGCATCTGTTCTTGTTTTTTATTTTTTCTCATAAAAAACTATTTCTAAACAATTTTAATTATCATGCTACAATAAATAGCAAGCCTAAGTACTCTAAACCATGCTTCCATCATCTGAATTTAAATCTTCAGAACTAGTAATAGAATAAATCAGAGTCATATTACCATTACTATAAAATAAAATGTTTGCTGGTTGCTAACCTTATTTTGAGGCAGAAAGCTCTAATACATTTATTTAATTGTTTCATTTCAGGGAAAAGGCAAAAGAAGTAAGTAGCTTATTTCAACTATAGATGTTCATCCTTTCTACTCAGAACAATGAAATCTGTAAAAAAAAAAAATTTATGTCTAGCTCTTGTCATTTACTTGTGACTAGCAAGTTAACCACTCATTTATTGAACACCTGATGACAAATTGCTACTGGGTGTTGCAACTTGGTATTCCTTTTCTTAAGCCAAAATAGCTTAAATATTATATTACATACATCTTATTCTTACCACAAGTAACACAAATTCCATCTAAAGTTATTAAAGGGACAGATTCACGATTTAGTTGCTTCAAAATGGGAGTTTCACTTTTTATTTCTATAAGCTTATGTCTTTTCTATATCATCGTATCATGAATACAGGTTTTGACATGGTCTTATTTGTTATTATGACGAATGGGGGTATGGTTTGGACACAATATTTCTATATATAAGCTTATGGCAGAGTCATATTAATTTCCAACACAGATAATTCTGGATTCACATGGATTTCAATGGAAATTCCGACAGTGAGCTCTGAACACTATTACTGATTGGCTTTGCTTGAAATTCCTGATTCTGAGACTAAGGTACATTTGGTCTTAACGGATAGCAAAGCTGACTCTTTAATTCTTTATATTATGTCTTTTTACTGGTAATGATTATTCAGTACATGCTCAATAAACATCAGTCTAATGCTTTTTCTTACAGGACAAAATTCACTGGATGATATTTTAGGAGATCTACTATCTGAAGGTATCTAATCTTTTTTATGATTGTTTTTCAATTTGTTCCTATTTTAAGAATATATTTTCAATGAAATATATCAAACAAATCTATTGTACACTTTATGATTTAATAAACCATGTAGAACTAAATTCTACTAAGAGAAATGATAATTTTTTTCTTCAGATACCCAGACAAAACCAGCACGGTCATCAGTAAGTTACACTTTGTTTTTTTACCACTTTTCATTTTCGTTTAAAATACAATTTGAAGTATTTTTATGATAAATTGGTGAAACAATCATGATACTTCATGCTAGGCATATGAAAGGAATATCATTATTTGTGTATGGATACTTGTTCACACTCGGCATTCTGACTGTATAAAAAAATATTGACTAGATGTTACATGTAATGTTGATTGACATTTCTATCAGAATAAACTAATGCTTATTGCTGCTATGTAGTTATAAATAGTCAAACCATTGATTGCTAATTCTTTTTTTAGAATACAAGTAAAGGAAAGAAAGGGTATGTTCATTTTTGTTTATTTTTTTTTCATTATTCTGAAACTTTTGATATTAGATAAAGAAAGTGATAGATATCTTGTCAAAAGTGATATTGATTAAATGTTTTATATTTTTCTAAATTGTAGGCTAAAAGATGATGATTTTTATAGTAACTTGGCAGCATCGGCTGGAGGAGATCCTGAGTCAGATATATCGGAGGCTGATGTTGATCAAGTTGCCAAATCTATTGCTGTAAGATTTCTTTTATTTCTTTGATTTTTATGTTGCTCCTTAAATCTCCATACACGAAAAAAATAAAACTTTATATTGAAATTTGTTTTTGTGAACAACATTTTATTCAAATATATATCCAAGAATACATCATGAAAAGGATTGGGGAAGAGGTATATTACCCCTCTCCAACTATTAATGCTTAAATGAGTTGCACAACCTACGAAATCCATCATGATATGTCACAAATAACAGATTCAGATTTTAATACTGACTTGAAGGAACTATTGATTTAAATCTCAGCTATCACATATATCATTTTCAATATATTTGCTTGTTTCTTTTTTTCAAGGATTTAGATGACATGGATGCTGATTTATTTGGAGGACCTGGACCATCCAAACGCAACAGTGTGAAAAGTCGGAGTGGTAAACCTACAACGCCACGGAGGTCTAGTAACACACCACGCTCACGGAGTGGCACACCTCGCTCTGGTAAACAAAGTTCACCACGACGTGCTCCTGGATCACCAACACGTGGTGAAGTTAGTCCTAGAGGAAGTGTTAAAAGACCTCCACCTAAACCTTCATCTCCTTCTCCACCATCATCTGATTATAAACCAGGAACAGCTCCAGGCAAAATGACAGGTTGGTACTTAATCTATATCAAAATATTCCCTGTCCTTGACTGATACAGAACACTCCTGGGCTCATTTCATGTCTGCAGCATTAATTTTCGTTTTGACTTTATGGAAAATTGTATGCATTGATGAATATGTATAAGGCCTTATTATTTATCTTCATTGTGAACACTGGTATCTTTTATTTGCATCAATTCGATTTGATGTTTACTGCGTTTAAAGTTCATCAATCAAATATGTATTTTTATACGCCCACATGAATATGTGGGCGTATATTGTCGTCTGTCCGTCTCTGTCCGTCCGTCCGTCCGTCCGTCCGTCAACATTTCTAGTCTCTAAAGACACTACAGTTTTTATCTGATTTTCATAAAACTTGGTGTGATGTTTTAGATTGATAAGATCTCGGTCAAGATCGAATTTGACATATTTTCGATGAACGGTTTTTGAGATACTGCCCTTGACTTAGAACGCCTTGAAATTTGTTAAAAATTGTTCGTGAGCAGGATTGAAGCTACAGTTTTCATCCGATTCTGGTGAAACTTGGTGTGATCATTGGAATTCATTAGATATTTGACAAGTTCTATCTTGACGCATTTTCGATGAACTGTTTTTGAGTTATTGCCCTTGACTTTGTTAAAACACGTCAAAATTTGTTAGAAATAGTTCGTGAGCAGGATTGAAGCTACAGTTTTCAACCGATTCTGATGAAACTTTGTGTGATCATTGGAATTGATAAGATCTCGGACAAGTTCTAATTTGATGCATTTTCGATGAACGGTTTTTTGAGTTATTGCCCTTGACTTTGTTAAAACGCGTCGAAATTTGTTAAAAATAGTTCGTGAGCAGGATTGAAGCTACAGTTTTCAACCGATTCTGATGAAACTTGGTGTGATCAATGGAATTGATAAGATCTCGGACAAGTTCTAACTTGACGCATTTTCGATGAACATTTTTTGAGTTATTGCCCTTGACTTTGTTAAAACGCGTCGAAATTTGTTAAAAATAGTTCGTGAGCAGGATTGAAGCTACACTTCTCAACCGATTCTGATGAAACTTGGTTTAATCATTGGAATTGATAAGATCTCGGACAAGTTCTAACAAGAGATATTTTTGATGAACATTTTTTGAGTTATTGC